TAATGTAATCCTTAATATAATATATCGTAATGGGATGATTGATTGACCTGTATACATACAGTATGTCCAATGCAGAACGAAGAATGAGTAAAAAACAAATAATAAACTGGAGTGACTCGTCGACCGCGGTTGTTGGTCTATAAGTCACAGAGATTTACTGAGGGCGGTCAACTTCATTTAATGTGTGATTTTGAAAGCTGACAAAGCATTGTTCCAGCTGAATTTCCACTCCTCTCCTTCTGTGTTTCATTTTATTAAAACGCAAAATACGCGCTGTAAATTTTCTCTTGGATTTTTTTGTAAAAATTATTATTTAACAAAATTTTACTGCTGTACATGAAATATGTACGTGGTGTTCTTGAATATGCAATACAATGTAAGTTTAGTAAACGAATTAAACATGATATCGATTTTACGATAAATGTACCATGATAACTCTATTCTATTGCAGAACAATGTCTTGACAAGCTATAGTTTTGCTTAAGTGAATATTCAAGATAATGTAATCCATCTTGTGGTTTCAGCGTGGGAAGAATTTATTTTTTACTATTTATCATGGATTTAAATAACACATACTGCACAGGAGAATTAAAATGAACGTTTATATTTGAATCTGAAATTTACTTAGTCGGAACATTGGTAAAAAATAATCGGTTATTCTAAGTATAGGACATTTTAACGAATTTCCCATATCGGTTATGCTATCACCGTAGGTGGCACGGTAGACCTAGACCAGGGACCGATTTACTTTTTCATTCTTATGTGCCCAGAGGATAACACTACAATTCGTTAACGTTTATAAATGTGTGTGTGTGGGTAAATCCGTGAACACGAGTAATTTTCTGTTCGATTTTCATGAAATTAGACATGAATTGCTTCATAAACAAATCTACTAAATGAACTATATCAATCAATCAATTTTTACTAAATACAGTTAGGTAGTCGAAAAGCTCACTTTAACCTTTCTTCCCCAAAAACGTATTATTAGTATTTAAGCTGTGTAAAGTGACCTTAAGCTAATAACTTAGGTGTGTGTGTGCGATTTGGAGTGTTGTAACTGTGCGCTATCAAAGTTTTATTTTATAGACTACTAGCTGTACCCGCGGGCTTTGCCCCGCTTAACTTCATAAGTATTCGCATGGCTCAATCACGTCCTGGTTGAAGTTCGTTCGCTACGCTCACTCACCTTCAGGTTGGAAATCGTTCGCTGCGCTCACATGTTTTCAGGTTAGCTCGTTCGCTACGCTTACTCGCCTCCAGGTTGATGTTCGTTCGCTACGCTCACTCACCTTTTGGTTGCAAATTAGCGGTTGTCATATTGTTTGCTAAAGGTTTTTATGTTTTAATATTTAACATTGGAGAATTTAAACGTTGTTGACTGCACAGGTGTGCTGCGATTGGGGTTTAATACATTTGGACTTATTAAAAAGTAAAATAGTTCTCTGTGCTGCACTCTGTAGTAACACTGTGGCACTATTTCAAATCATGACTAATGCTAATACAGAATGTTGTGATTATTCAAACCTACAAAACAGTTGGTGAAAGTAAACATCTGCTTTTAAATTATATTTATTTGTAAACATTGTAGATCAAAAAGTCTGACATTGGCCCACTTAAAACCCTCTGGGGCAGAGCCCTTTTGACGGATCTGCACCAAACTTCACTCGAACCATCCTTGAAAGATGCTTAATAATGCCTGAAAGTTTCATTACAATCTGTCGAGCGGTTTCGGAGTCCATAACGTATTTATACACACACACACATACATACATACATACATACATAGTTCCTCTTTTATAGATATAGATTGGTTTTTGTTCCGATATCTATGAAACATTTTTACATGTAAGTGTGTAAAAACTTTTAAATGTTGTTGTACAATTAAAGGTTACGGACAATATTCCAAGAAAACTTAAGATTAAAAGTAATAGATTGCTTATTTATATATATTTCAAACAAATTTAGCAAATTTATGTATTCCCAAAAAAAAAAAAAAAAAATTTCTTCCCCTATAGAAGAAAATCTAGGCATTCGTTAAACCTAACGTTAGGTCCTAGGAAACAAATCTGACATGGTATAGAAATCATTTCAGTTAAAATGTTTTCGACAAATTAAAATTCTCTTAGCCAGCAGGTTTGCTGTGACGGAGGTATTATAGTACCATACTCAGAAATTAAGTAGCAAATGACTATAAAAGTAGTATAATATAGACTTTAAATTTTTTTATAAATGACATATCTATTTTTGCATTGATTTGAATTTCAAATAATAATAGAGATTACAATGTTAGGAATATATTTTTTTCTATATATACTGTACTACCATTTGGATGAGGGAAGGGTTTTAAAGAGAGCAAAAGACTGTGTTATCCCCGCGGGTGTTGTTGAATAAAGGTTTTTAGGGATGGTCAGAGGCGCCACCAGCAGTCTGCACTGAAAACATGTTTTATTGTGTCCGGAATGAAATCCAGTAAACAACCCTAATCTGTTTGCTAATGAAGTTGTTAAATTTCATTACATCTTTGTTAAACTAATTCTGTATTGTATGACAATGACATTTTGTACTGCAATCCTTACATATTGAACATTAATTGTAGTTTGTTATTGTATTATAAAATGGTAGTTTTAAATTTATTTCATGAGTGATAATATCAATGTTATTTTAGTTATTATTTTGTCTAGTGTTATGTCATTTATTGACTCACAAATTTAGTAGTATTGTTGTTCTATATCACATATATATCACTATCGAAAACATGAACATGTTTTTATCTTTTACGTTTAACAAATCGTGTTGAATTAATTAGTATAATTGCCATATTTTAGGCCCATATTTGTATGAATATTATTATTATTATTTTTATTATTACCGATTACAATTGGAACGCATAGGAGCGTACTCTAAACCCTAAAAATGAAGGGAGGGTTTAGAATAAAGGGAGATGCCTCTTGTACATTTTATCTGGCATAAGCTAGCTGTGTCTTTAATCAGGGCTATTGTTTAGTAGACCTATTAGAGGTTGTTTAGTCTTTGAAAAGATACTGAAATTTATTAAGTTAAAATAGGTGACCTTTTGATTGCTAAGCGAACACAATTATGTGGTTTCACCGCGACTTGAACCACAGATGTTTTCTGTGCTTGAACCTAAAACCTAAAACATCGCTTCACAGTCATAGAAACTCCATAAACTCTCTTTTAAATGATTTAACGAATTAAATTTAAATTTAAGAGACTTTCAAAGGTTCAGGCTGTGCTTTCATAAACTATATGAGAAGAATAATGCAAAAACAAAGCCTATTTTTAAATACCATTAATTTAGCTATAATAGCTATGTAAATAAAATAAACAAAGGCATCCACGAGGCATGGATCGGCATAAGTAGGGCTCAGAGAAGTAATGTTATAGGCCATTTTACTCATTGGACAGTTATGCCATAGATGAAGTAATATAATGCTTCACATTAGTCAGCCGTCCAAATGCACTTAGGCTTTATGTTCTGCTGTAATAGACTTTGGTAGTTTGATAGACGTCATGTAATTTCTGATATAGAAAGCACCTTGTTGTTTAAATTGTTTAAGTGTGGTAATAATTGTAATAAATGCCAAACGGTATCAGAAATCTGACACATACTTTCTCCTATAAGTTTGCAACAACCTTTATCATAAGGGGTGGGAGTAACTATGATATTTTATAGGGGAAAATCACAAAAGTTGCAATAACATTTGAAACGTAATTGTTACAGCATTGGGGGGTTGCATTATTTTGTTTAGAATTATAAGGACCATAACACAATAATTTTAATAAAAACCTGCTTTAACAAAATCGAACTACATGTGTGGTCTGTAGCTATTTACACATCCACACACAGACATCACTTCCAAAACCACTTTTTTGGGTTCCAGGGGACCCAAAACGGATATATCCACTCAAAACTCAAATTCGAAAATTTTGACGAAAACAATACTTTCTCCATATACTATGTATAAGGCGGGAAATTAAAAATAAATGGTGGACAGGTGACTCTTTGCTACAGTTGCTTTAAACATTGATGATATATAGTCAATGATTTTAATAACCACAAATTATCTTCTGTGTCGTCCCCCCATTACATAGCACAAGCCAAGCAACTAACTATAGTGCCTTATAATTATTGCGAGTAAATGATAGTTTAATCTATACTAATGATTCTTTTTAAAAATACAAAAAAAAAATAGTTGCAATTTACTAAAACAAGGTCTAATGGGGAGGTTTATAGTCGAACAGCCAAACACTTTACATTCTTCTTTCTTTTATAACATTGAAATTGACTCGACTATAACTTCAAGTTACAGTTTGTTGTAGCCTATTCTTGCAAGCAAGCTGAATGGGAAAACTTTAACTGTGCTAAATGTGATTAGATAGAACTCAGTAAGCAGGAAAATTGAGTCCAACCTCATTGTTCACTGCCCAAGTCTTTACTGACAATTAACTTAGCTCGGGCGTACTTTTACTTAGGAAGAATTGTTTCTTAAATACACTTTTTTCCAGAGTTATATCCAAAATACTACAATTTAATACTTGCTTTAATTAATGATACGATTCATGTGATTGTGATGTGATTGGATGTGGATACTTTTTTTAGAATGATGTAATACCGATATTTTAACATTCTAGAAAAGTTAAGGTCCAAAGACAGTTGAATGATACTTTTCGTTATTTTAGTAACATCATATTTTAGTTAGTAAAATTACCATTTGAATATTTATTTGGAATTGGTGCGTTTCCAGTGACTTCTGATTTACAATTTTAAGATGATTCTTTGGCGTTAAGATTTGGCCCAGACTCCAGATCTTAGACAAAAACTTTGTAGGAACTAGGGTGTAGTCGTAATAGGACGTCCACTTAATGCCCCTTACAGAATGTAAATAATACTGTAAATTTTTACAATTGTAGACTATCGGCTGAATATGCTCATACATACAAAAGTAGCAACATCTATCGTCAAAAATTTAAATTCATACCTGACTAAGTATTGTGAAAAGTCCTTCTGCCAACTGGGCGATGGGTCCCGACAAGATGGCGTCTGCCGTCCTTCCTGTGCGTCCACGTGGCACTTCCGGTGTAAAGCACGTCTCAACGCGTCCGCGACTAACCGCACAGCACTCCGCACAAGATGGCGGTCGAACCGCAGCGGCAACGCGCGAACGCCCAGAACTCCTACGGGTAGAGGAGGCACCATATCAAGCTCTTTAGCCGACCGCCTCACCCTTAGTGTTCTATCACTATTATTGCTTGCAGTAGTGTTAAATGAATCCGACGCGGTTGAGTTTTCAAACACGTGCAACGGAAAAGATTCAGACGTTTTGTCCTTGGAGAATACCGTAACTCTCTCATTCGATATCCAAATATAATCGTGCGACACAGACGTATTCTTCGAACTAAGGCTACTTTCGCTTACCCTATCTAATTTATTTATATTATCGTTTACTTCAGTGCGGTTATCGAGATTTATTTCGTTATTGTTTATATTTGAGTTATTAACAAGACCCGTTTCGTTCGTTCGCGTATTTAGTTCTCTACCCATATCACTTGTAGAGTTTGTGGAGTTGGCGGAACCCAGCTGTTTGATGAGGTTGTTGAAGTAGTCTTCACTGGAGGATGTGTCGTGGTGGTCTCCACTCTCGCGCGCTCTTCTGTCTTTGATTCGGTCGTCCAAGGGGTAGAAAATGTTCAGCTTTGATTCGTTCCTGGCGGTAAGAGATGACCCAGTGTCGATCCACAGCCAAACAAAGTTGCCCTGGACCATGTGCAGTCTCTTGGCTTCGTCCATCACCCGCTTGGCAGCAGCACTGTCGCTCATCATCACCACCACTCCCTTGGTTAGGTGGGATACGTCCGACAACATCCTGAAGACAAACAACACGTTTAGAATAATCATAATTAATAAATAAAGACAAGACAACATTCTTGCGTATAACCTGTATGTGGTAGAGCAAAGTGTAAAATAATGAGTTATGGATGCGACTATGCTACTCACTACAAATTAGACTAGTAGTACGCTTGTTCTGCGCGTAACGGGATGAGTGAACATGAGCGCAATAATGAAAGAGTCCACCCACACCTAGCATACTTACCGGTGTCACTGGTGAACACAAAAATGTTATTTGTATCGGCAAATCAACCCATGAGTCGGGGCAAATAATGGTGAGTCGGTGGCTCAGTCGGTAGCGTCACGCGGACTTCGGGCCCAAGGCAGCGATGTCGTGGGTTCGGATCCTAGTCACAGCCACTAAATTTCAGTTCACCTTTGTCCTGTACCGGCTCACCCCTTGCTTTGCTGTAAACGATCCACGCACGGGCGCTTAGTCTATGTGGACAGGCAAATGCAAGGTTAAAAGAGGCTGCCAGTGCTAACCTCTAAAAAAAAAAACCAAATCTCAGTCAACAAAAATCCTAACTTCTCGTCCATTAATTAACCAAAGTCATTGGTAATATACGTAATGTATTTCCTGTTTCTCTCTCTTCTCATAGCATTTTATTATTGCAGATACATCAATCTAACTGTCAAAGAGTTCCCATCACAAAGAGTTAGTCACAAAGAGTTCCCACACTCTGGACTGTTCACCTTGACTACTTCCTTCACCACTTCCTACGTCATGGACCTGTTTCCCTCTCTGCTCATAGCATTTTAGTATTGCAGATACATTAATCTAACTGTCACAAAGGGTTCCCACACTCCGGACTCCTCGCCTTGACTACTCCCTTCACCACTTCCTACGTCGTGGACCTGTTTCCCTCCCTTCCCATAGCATTTTTAGAATTGCAGACACTGAACATTATTCTAATCACCACTGAGGGTTTCTACACTCCGGAATGCTCGCCTGGACTACTTCCTTCACCACTTCCTACGTCGTAGACCTGTGTCCCTCCCTTCCTATAGCATTTTAGAATTTCAAATAGATTAATTTAACTTTCACAAAGGGTTCCCACACTCCGGACTGTTCACCTTGACTACATCCTTCACCGCTTCCTACGTCGTAAACCTGTTTCCCTCCCTTCCTATAGCATTTTAGTATTGCAGGTATATTAATCTAACTGTCACAAAGGGTTTCTACACTCCGGACTGCTCGCCTCGACTACTTCCATCACCGCTTCCTACGTCGTGGACCTGTTTCCCTCCCTTCCCATAGCATTTTAGTATTGCAGTTACACTAATCTAACTGTCACAAAGGGTTTCTACACTCCAGAATGCTCGCCTCGACTACTTCCATTACCACTTCCTACGTCGTGGACCTGTTTCCCTTCCTTCCTATAGCATTTTAGTATTGTAGGTATATTAATCTAACTGTCACAAAGGGTTTCTACACTCCGGACTACTCGCCTCGACTACTTCCATCACCGCTTCCTACGTCGTGGACCTGTTTCCCTCCCTTCCCATAATATTATAGAATTGTAGTTACATTAATCTAACAGTCACAAAGGGTTTCTACACTCCAGAACGCCCGCCTCGACTACTTCCATTACCACTTCCTACGTCGTGGTCCTGTTTCCCTCCCTTCTTATAGCATTTTAGAATTGCAGTTACACTAATGTAACTGTCACAAAGGGTTTCTAAACTCCAGAATGCTCGCCTCGACTACTTCCACTACCACTTCCTACGTCGTGGACCTGTTTCCCTCCCTTCCTATAGCATTTTAGTATTGTAGGTATATTAATCTAACTGTCACAAAGGGTTTTTAACACTCCGGACTGCTCGTCTCGACTACTTCCATCACCACTTCCTACGTCGTGGACCTGTTTCCCTCCCTTCCCATAGCATTTTAGTATTGCAGTTACACTAATCTAACTGTCACAAAGGGTTTCTACACTCCAGAACGCTCGCCTCGACTACTTCCATTACCACTTCCTACGTCGTGGACCTGTTTCCCTCCCTTCCTATAGCATTTTAATATTGCAGTTACATTAATCTAACTGTCACAAAGGGTTTCTACACTCCAGAATGCTCGCCTTGACTACTTCCATTACCACTTCCTACGTCGTGGACCTGTTTCCCTCCCTTCCCATAGCATTTTAGAATTGCAATTACACTAATCTAACTGTCACAAAGGGTTTCTAAACTCCAGAATGCTCGCCTCGACTACTTCCACTACCACTTCCTACGTCGTGGACCTGTTTCCCTCCCTTCCTATAGCATTTTAGTATTGCAGGTATATTATTCTAACTGTCACAAAGAGTTTCAACACTCCGGACTGCTCGCCTTGACTACTTCCATCACCGCTTCCTACGTCGTGGACCTGTTTCCTTCCCTTCCTATAGCATTTCAGTATTGCAGTTACACTATTCTAACTGCCACAAAGGGTTTCTACACTCCGGACTGCTCGCCTTGACTACTTCCTTTACCACTTCCTACGTCGTGGACCTGTTTCCCTCCCTTCCCATAGCATTTTAGTATTGCAGTTACACTAATCTAACTGTCACAAAGGGTTTCTACACTCCAGAACGCTCGCCTCGACTACTTCCATTACCACTTCCTACGTCGTGGACCTGTTTCCCTCCCTTCCTATAGCATTTTAATATTGCAGTTACATTAATCTAACTGTCACAAAGGGTTTCTACACTCCAGAATGCTCGCCTTGACTACTTCCATTACCACTTCCTACGTCGTGGACCTGTTTCCCTCCCTTCCCATAGCATTTTAGAATTGCAATTACACTAATCTAACTGTCACAAAGGGTTTCTAAACTCCAGAATGCTCGCCTCGACTACTTCCACTACCACTTCCTACGTCGTGGACCTGTTTCCCTCCCTTCCTATAGCATTTTAGTATTGCAGGTATATTATTCTAACTGTCACAAAGAGTTTCAACACTCCGGACTGCTCGCCTTGACTACTTCCATCACCGCTTCCTACGTCGTGGACCTGTTTCCTTCCCTTCCTATAGCATTTCAGTATTGCAGTTACACTATTCTAACTGCCACAAAGGGTTTCTACACTCCGGACTGCTCGCCTTGACTACTTCCTTTACCACTTCCTACGTCGTGGACCTGTTTCCCTCCCTTCCTATAGCATTTTATTATGGCAGATACATTAATCTAACTGCTACAAAGGGTTCCCACACTCCGGACTGCTCGCCTTGACTACTTCCTTCACCACTTCCTAAGTGTCGTGGACCTATTTCCCTCCCTTCCCATAGCATTTTTAGAATTGCAAATACATTATTCTAATGGTCACAAAGGCTTCCCACACTCCGGACTGCTCACATTGACTACTTCCTTCACCACTTCCTACATCGTGGACCTATTTCTCTCCCCTAAGTATTACCGATACGTTAATTTAACAGTCATAAAGGGTTTCCGTACTCCTTTCTTTTCACTGCTCACCTTTTCGCTTCCTCTACGTCGGGGACCTGCCCCCCCCCCCTTAGCATTGCATTTTAATATAAAAATATATTAACATCTTTGAATATTTAATATTCAATGCCAACATTAAATTGAATAATGTAAAAAGCTGCTTTGTTCTAAATACAAACATACCTATATACTTTTAATTTAAAGGTGAATTTTAATACTGCACATAAAAGGTATATAACTGCCGACTAATATTGTTAAGTTCAATTTATTATTCTGAAAGTTGTGAAATTTAATTAGCTTAAATAACATTATTCTGAAAGCTGTGAAATTATAATGATATATATTCATAGACGCCAAACTGTTTACTCCATGAATGAAAGAGCTTAGAGTAAAAGTCGTTCTCTCTGTCTTAAGTAGACAACAAAATTTTTGGTCGCAAAACGTAAACAAATACAAAGAAGAAGAAGGTAGCTCCTAATGTTATTCTTATGGGACAAATTTAAAAATGTTTTTTAAGTATTTTATAATTACTACTGAGCGGAATCGTCTAGAATTTTAATCAGGTCTTCCCAGTCGTGTCATAATTATTTGTGCAAAATTTGAACGCTATAAGTGCGACGGTTCTTGGTTTTTTGGAGTTTTTGGTGCGAACACACAGACACACACAAGTGGACAACTTTTCTCCGACTCCGCTAGACACGAACACGATACATAGATTCGTTCACTTCGTTCACTCATCTACTAGCTTTTTATTTATTAAATGCCATTGATCAAGGCCATACAACTATAAGGGACGGATGTGTCTGGTTTACAACATCAAAAAGCTACTGATTTATCATAAGGTCAGCGTACTTGTTAACTAGTTGGTCACGTCAACCACACAACTACCTAGCAATACACAAATTCACCTCCCTCTGTCAAAAAAAATTCCAAGACATAGAAAACGTTACCAACAATTATCAATTATCAATTGGTGAGATGGGGACGCCACCTAGGTGCGTATTTTAACCCAAATATGAGTGAAGGATCGGTGTAGAATGAAGTGTGATGCCTTGTGTAGTTTTGTTACTGACTAAGATCAGCTGTTTCATTAGTCAGGATCATTTATTTAAAGCCCAATGATCAGGAACATCTGGGTCCAGTTTCGAACCATCAAAAAGCTACTGACCTTTCTCAGGATCGAACCGGCGACCTTTTGATTACTATATCCACTCAGCTACCCAGCCAGTTGATAACAGCTCATAGCTAAGTTATCCTGGGCATACTAAAATTTACCACACAATGCCAGACAAAGTTGAGTTAAATTTACATCAAATTAAAAGTCCTGTTTGCCAGCCAATTGTTTTCACAAGTAGTTCAAACTAATAAATTTTAGCATTGACTAGTTAATGGTTTTAACATTAGTTAGTGAGGCACTTTATTTCATAAAATTTGTCCCTTTTAAGTCGGTGTTCGTAAGGCATGGACAAAGGTTCTGTTCTGCCACAACACAATTTCTGTTGGAAGAGATCGGTTGTAATACAATTATTCCAAAATCTAACAAAAGTTAACAAATTAACAAAAAGTTTAAGAAATCAGGAAAACTTCATTCCTAATTATTTTATAGAATAAATAAATTTGCCATTTAGCTGTGAAATGCAATGGATGGTTTTGAAAAAAAAAAGTTTTTTCAATTAATAAATCTTATTACTGGTACGATTTGGAGAGAAAAACAATAATTCACGATTGATATACAATATCTGACTAAAGGATTTCTTGTAAAATTAACACGAACCTTAAAAGAAAGATAACTTTTTCTACCACTCTTGATCACTCTAAATTTTAATATCTTAAAATACAAATGAATGAAACTTCACAGAGTATAAGAGCATTCCAAACAAATTACACAAATAACAATAGCTTGTCAATCCAAAATGTTAACTTGATTAGCATTTTAATGAATTAATTTCCAGATATTTTTAGCATTATCATTAAGTAGTATACTGTGAATAACCGCTTAAATGATTAGTTACTGCATTAAAGCATTCACAAGCAAAATGCTATCTCTGGTTAAGCCGGTTCAAAAGCCTGATTCCGACACATGTCAATTGGCTGATGTGTGAATCATCCCTACAATTATCGAAATGCACATGTGAAGCCGCGCAAAACAGACATTACACTGGCTGTGTTAATAAAGTGTGTATTTATATCCCTATGCAAAATAGATGTGCTTTTCCACTTATTTTTAACGAGTCTAATTTATTTATTAGTAGTGTAAAAGTGGTACCTATTTAATTCATTTATTCAATCAATCTGAACATAGAAATAAATGGTAATTTTATACTTTCTCAGAGATTGTCAGCAACCCTTAATCATGGAAACTCCTTAAAAATGGGGGTGGGAGTAGCTATGATAATTTTGGGGAAAGTTAAAAAAACTGCAATAAATTTTGAACCGTAATCAATCATCATTGTAGGTGTACTGTTTTCTTTAGAATTTAAAGGATCAAAAAAATTCCCTTTTTTTATGGTTATTTAAAAAAAAAAAAACATAATAATACGTGAAAAAAACACCTGGAGATACCAGGGAATAGAACCCACCAAACTTGGACCACAGGTGTATTCTATAGCTCTGTACACATCCACACATAAAGACAACTACACATACAGGTATCACTTCGAAAATATTTTCTTTTCGGGTTCAAGGGGAGCCAAAACGAATATTTCTGCCGTAAACTTAAACTCAAAAATGTTAATTAAAACAATACTTTCTCCATATATAAATGGGGAGAAAGTACAAAATATTTTTGAAATTTAGCAAATGAGCAAAAGAGTGATAGGAATCTAACAACCGCTTATCCCAATTGGATCGGACCTTTTGGTCAACATAACAACACTATCAAATCAAAACCAAACCATTATCACAGCTCCATATAACTACCATATAGCTCCATATAGCTTTATGACTACGAGAAAATTAATATCTATAACCTCTATAACTTGTTTTGAACGCAAAAGAGCTAAGTAAATAGCTGGATGTTGAAGCAACACCTATCAAACGTTTAAACGTGAGACGCGTCGTTATTTAAGAGATTTCTGCCAGACTTTTCGGTCTTTCGTTGAAAAGGCGTCTTCATTGGTTAGGCTAATACCAAGATGTATGGGGTAAAAGCAATAGAATAGGATAAAATAAAAAAAATGGTTGAACGTCTGCCAGGTAACTCTAAAGATCAAACTGTTGATGAAAAAATCGCAATAGTGTCTAATGACTACTCTTCGAAAGCTGATTGAAAAAGAACTATTGTTTTACGAGTAACACTAAAATGACAGCTGAAATTCATACAGGGAATACAAAATAATCTACAGAACATTCCAAAACATAAAAAAGTGTCAATCTGTATGTTTAAACACTACCTGAATATTGCTTGCCGAGCTGCGTCGGGCCGTAGTGGTATGAACTTGGGCTGGAGAGGAGGGGTGGAAATGACGTCAGCCACGTCCTTACGGAGGGGTAGTCCTGTATAAATGAGGGTGAAGGTGTGCCAATGGGTGGCCAGCATGAGGGACCTCAAACCTCGGAAGAGATCTTGGACTCCGGCGTCCAGGCGAACCTCCAGCGGGCCCAGGGACTCCTGTAACATAATAGGGGGAAATGTACTTCCAGCTATTGAGAGAGAACCAAGGTTATTTAAAGAGGATGTTCGGATATTTAAAGAGAAGGAGTAATGTACTTCCAGTTGTTTAAAGAGGAGGAGTAATGTACTTCTAGGTATTTAAAGAGGAGGAGTAATGTACTTCCAGTTGTTTAAAGAGGAGGAGTAATGTACTTCTAGGTATTTAAAGAGGAGGAATAATGTACTTCCAGCTATTTAAAGAGGAGGAGTAAGTAATATACTTTCAGTTATTTAAAGAGGAGGAGTAATATACTTCCAGCTATTTAAAGAGGAGGAGTAATGTACTTCCAGCTATTTAAAGAGCAGGTGAAATGTACTTCAAGCTATTTAAAGAGGAGGTGAAATGTACTTCCAGCTATTTAAAGAGGAGGTGAAATGTACTTCCAGCTATTTAAAGAGGAGGTTAAATGTACTTCTAGCTACTTAAAGAGGAGGTGAAATGTACTTCCAGCTATTTAAAGAGGAGGTGAAATGTACTTCCAGCTATTTAAAGAGGAGGAGTGGTGTACTTCCGGTTGCTTAAAGAGGAGGTGCAATGTACTTTAGGTTGTTTAAAGAGGGGGTACAATGTACTTTAGGTTGTTTTAAGAGGAGGTGCAATGTACTTTTGGTTGTTTTATTATTTGGTTGGTTTTTTTTAAATTTCTAACAAGTATTATAGAGTTATGAAATTGTCTGTCTTTTGTGTTTTGTAAATATTAGTTTAAGAATATATATGTTAGGCCTATATGCATACGAGATGTTTTATTCACTGTATACAAGACAGGTATATTATTAAGATATGTTTAAAGGTTAATTTTGTTGTTTAAAAGAAAATACAAACAACTCTGTGCTGTATACAAAACTGTAATTTGAGAAAATAAATGAATTTGAATTTGAATTTTAAGAGGAGGTGCAATGTACTTTAGGTTGTTGAAAGAGGGGGTGCAATGTGCTTTAGGTTGTTTTAAGAGGAGGTGCAATGTACTTTAGGTTGTTTAAAGACGAGGTATAATGTACTTTAGGTTGTTTAAAGAGGAGGTGCAATGTACTTCAAAGAGGAGGAGTATTGTACATCCGGATATTTAAAGAGAAGGAGTAATGCACTTCTAGGTATTTAAAGAGGAGTAGTAATGTACTTTCAGCTATTTAAACTCGAGCAGTAATGTGAAGACAAATAAATTATATTCTAGAACATTATTCTATTCACATCAAACATTCAGTAAACGTTAAATTTTTTGGTAGTATGTTATTTTTAACACTTATACATTATATTGATTTTCTATTTCAAAATATATAGTTAGTTTTTGCTAAGATACGACTGTTGAGGGAAAACACTTTTCAGAATTATTTACTTTTTAAACATTGAGCTAAGCACACGTGTTTAAACCTGAATATGAATTGAGAGTGAATAATTGAGGTTAGATGCCTTGTGTACAGGTTTATACAGCAAGGGCCATTTATTGTAACAAAGGGTGGTTTTAAAACTATAAAAAACCATTTTATCAAATTCCCGATCACCAAGCGAGCACAGACAACTAAGCTAACTAGTAACTTTTTTAAACCGTCTCAGAAGACATAAATGACCGAGAACTAAAAGCAATATTTATTTTTGACCTTTATTTAGTTACTCTCGACATAAAATATACTGTGAAAAAAAATACTAAATGCAATTAAAAAAGACCTATCGAAAAACTATATAGCTTCTAAATAAATAAAAAAAATTACAGCTTATATTTTATTTTATTGAAATCGTATAAAACCTGTATGAGTAGAGAATAAATTGGTATAACGTAGGTTTATAATTCCACACGGGTTTGAGGGTAAGCTGGGTTTTTGCTAGTCAGATAATAGCAGTAAGCAATTAAGGGATATCTGGCCAGACCGTGGCAGGAAACATTGGGTTTATTTATGGCCAAAATCCCTCCTTGCTTATCTGGTATCGTGTGGTGAAGACGCATTACATGAGTTTTATCCTCCTTTGTTCCACCCTTTTGTCCTTTTAAAAGTTATGTGAGGTATAACGTAATAGTTCATAAGTAACTTAACGAATCCCATTATTGGTGTTTTACAGATATACTAAATGTTGTAATAATGATAATGGAATATTTTGTAATTTTTATATTATTTACTGAATATGTACTTGGTAGACAAGTGGTTATAGTTCTTGCCTTCAAATACGGATTTTTTTGTTTTATTCAGAGTTATATTAGGCCTAAATAAATCTTAACCTAGTTGCTTAAGAAATTAGTGACGCTATTTTACAATAAGTATATTTTTATAGTAACTAGACCAGGGTTTATGTAGATTTTTTTAAACTATGTACAATAAAAATTTCTTATGCAGACCCAAAGTGAACTTATTCTAACAAATTAGTGTAGGAAATGAGCATTCGGCTGTCACCATGTTTTGCTGGTTTGATTATACAAAGTCATTACATACACTATTTAGATCTAAATTTGGCTCAGCTGCCTTAGATCATTGGGATTTTCTTAAATGTTTATTTCAGTGAGCAGCTAATGAAAGTCAGGGACAAACCAATATCTCATTTATTTAACACCCATCCTTCATACCCCTTCGCTAAATAACGCCCCTTGGTAGTAACCTAACCTGACTTACTTAACCTAAAATAGCATAGCATAAACGAAGTAACCTTACCTAACCTTTTCAACCTAACCTAACGTAACCTAACACAAAGTAACCTAATCCGACCTAAAATAAACCATCCTAACCTAGCCTCACTATGGTAAAAATTTAATTCTTAATATTTAATTTTCTATGTGTACTACTATAATTGCTACATGCTAACAGACATTATAAGGTGTATTTATATAGGTTCATCTAACTATATAAATCTGTCTGATTTTTACTCAGTCGTATAAGTTTTTGTTCAATAATGGATCTAATACTGAACATATGAGATGTGAGCGCACTTCACCCAACAGTTGACGTAATGTGGATGGTAAGTGCTTTGTGAAATGGGCTGTAGGATGAGATTTATAAGCTTTCCCTGTCGTTATTCGTCTGTGGCATGTGTGATACGAAATTGACAGCATTTTTACAAATCTGTCCCTAAAACTGTATGGAATTGTGTTTAAATTCAAAATTTTGCAAGTCTTGTTTTATTTAATTTTCCCTCTATACATAAGTATATGGAGAAGGTATTATTTACATTAATGAGTTTGAGATTTCAGAGGAAATATCCGATTTAGGTATCCCTGAACCCCAAAAAGTGGCGTTTGAAGTAATGCTGTTTGTGTGTGTGTGTCAGTGTGAGTGAATTTGAGCTATAGACTGAATTTTTACAAAAACAGTCCAAACTATTCTGACTATAAGTAGTATGTTATGGCCCTTAAAACTCCAAACAAAGTGGATTAACCTGCAATGATGGAAACATTTCAGTTCAGAAGTTATTGAAACTTTATTCCCCTTAAATATCATAGTTACTCCCAACGTTTGCCTGTGATAAGGGTTTTTGAGCTAATTGAATGAAGTATGTGTCAGATTGCTGATATAGTTAATTTATTTGCCTTTTTGCTAAGACTCTGTACAGTATGATATAAAAAATGAACTCTTAATATAGGTATTCAATGTTGATTATTCTTCTATTTAATTTACTTTGGGTTTTAATTATTTTGTTGTGGAATATAATAGTAAGCTTTATAAAAATAGCAACAGAGTGAATATAAACAATGCAAACGTAACAATATTTTTTTTACATTATCTGGTGGGAAAAATTATTAAATATAACTAGACCCTGAAGTCAGAACCGTTAGGGTATGATACAAAATCTCTCTTATTGCAATATTAAAGTCTATCATGAGTGTGAACCAAAATCTTTATGTTTCTGAGGCTAATTCCACTTTCAATCAAATTAGTTTTGTATCAATTAATAAACAGTATTTAAAACAGAATAACCATCTAAAACCGTTATAGACAGATATTAGACGAAAGATTAAAATGTATAAATTTATTTTAAGTAAAACCCACAATAGTCTGTTATATGGACGAAGCCACAATTACTAATTTGCGGTTTTATTTGAAACCGCTAACTCGAAACACTTTTAGAATAACGATGGTGCTATGAATGGTCCCCAATATGTTTGAACACATTTTAAGCCCCTTCTCTAAATAAATAAATCTGACAGTATGGTCAGGACTATTTAGCTTAATTTTTAAAATTAAAGTTTTTAAATATTTTAATATAATTTTAAATTTATATTTTTTAAATTTACAAATTTTATTTTTTTTATGTAAAGTTTTATAATTTAATATTATAATTAGCCCATTTAATTTTAATTTTTAAATACTTTAAGCGAATGTTAAACATACTTTAAGATAAAAGTCAATCCATATAGCAAACTTAATTATATATTATGTAATAAATAATTTACCGGAGTGAATTTAATTCAGTAAATGTTACAAATTACTCTAATCACTCTGTTATTAAGTGTTCCGTGGTGGAAATACAAACAAAAACCGGTCGCTAACTGCAGACACAAAAAATTCCAAAACAAAGTCATTATTTAACTGGGCTTGGGTGGAGCTTTGGCTGTGACAATGATAAATATCAAAGATCTTTAAACCTGCGAGGAAATATACAGGGTGTTTTTTTAAAAACTTGCATCTTTATTTATGTAAAAACCGCAATAGATAGAAATATGCAGTTTGCGGGAATCATCTATTGACGTAGGGGGACCAATTGTTTTGAATTCAACGTTACATTCACATTCCCCCCCTTTCCCCCCCTGCCCCCAACTTAATTTTTTTAAATAGCAAGGTACCCCTTGTGACATATTAAATAAAAGAGCATGAAAAAAGAAAATGTTTGATGAAAAAAAATTGAAAATCGGTTCATAAATTTGTGAGATATTCCCCCCCTCACCCCCCCGGAACTTATTTTTTTTTAATAGCAAAGTACCCCTTGTGACATATCAAATGAAAGAGCATGAAAAAAGAAAAATTTTGGTGAAATTTAT